CATGTATCACTGAGAGAAAGAGAGCGAGATGGACGAAACAGGTATGATAAAAAACAATCGAAAACCATAGACCTGTAAACTTATACGAATACGAATCGATTCGCACTCGGAGGGAGCGGGGGTGGATGGAAGGAAACTGGTATGAAGAATTGTTCACATAATGATGATCGGATGAGCGAGCGAAAGCACGAAATCTCAGATCCGTAATCAATATGACAGGGACGTCATCACAACACAAGTTCAGTGCAAGCCTGCCGAATGGACATACTTAGGAGTGAGCACGCGAACCACCTTTGCTTGCCTTCTTGTTGCGAATAGCTTTCAGCACCTGGACAGCACATTCGGGGATACGGGTACCGGGACCGAACACAGCAGACGCTCCGTGTTCCAGGAGGAAATCATAGTCCTGCGGTGGAATCACACCACCCACAATGACCACAATATCCCTGAAAGAAACGGACAGACTCGATGAATGTACTTCCATGTGTGTTTTTAAGCTTATTCTGACAATGCTGGTTGGCTGACGTTTTCTTTAGGTCAAAATTACACGGAAGAAACACAATAAAATATCAGTGGCTGTCTCTACTTTTGGACAAAGTTGCCGTCATCTCCGGCAGGGGAAAGTTATGATCATAATTAGTTGTTAGCTGTTACAAGATAAAATCAATCCCCCTTGAGGGGGTATTAAAACGGTGGTTATATGGAATTCATGACAAGAGGAAGTTCGTTCTTACAAAAACAGGCCTCCTTTTACAGAGAACAACAAGTAACTTTTGTAAACGTCTATTTATAAGCGTACAATCTTTGAAAAAATGCACTTTACTGTCCAGTCTCAATTTGTATCCCTGTTTAGATCAGAGCGTTTCGACCTCCCTGCATTCGCTCATTTCGGACCAAAGTAAAGAAAGAAAGCAAGTAGTCTCACAATTTTACTGCGGAAACAGGGTCAATGAATGGTTGTTAGAATAAAAGTCTACCAATCGACAGAGCTCATAGATTTGGGCAAAATTCTCAAATTATCACAGCTTGAACCGCCGGAATAACTGACGGGAAAAATTTAAACCGCTATCATTCACTTTTCCCAACAGCCACTGTAGTCATGACGTCATACAGCAAGAGAGAGATGAGTGAAAGAAAAAATAATCCCTGTGTAGACTGATTGGGAACTTACTGTCCGCCCAACTTGGCCAGTTCTTTCACCAGTTCGGGCACCAAAGTCTTGTGTCCAGCGGCCAAACTGCTCACGCCGACCACGTGTACATCAGCATCAACAGCCTGTTGCGCAGCTTCCGCCGGGGTCTGTGACGGGAGTGAGCGCGTGTGGATGTGCATGTTGGATGAGGGAAAAAGGAGTGCAATTCGTTGACAATCTTTTGGATCTTATTCGTGTTCAAACATGAAGTGTAGATTTTGAGGCTTTTAGTAATCTAGCAATCAAGACGCTTTCGTGGTGGTCGAATTTTCCTAATTACTACGTCTCGTTGGAGAGCTTGGGGAATTAAAATGAAAAAAAACATGAGGAGAAACATTGTACAATATTTGTGGGGGTGTCACTTACTACAAGTTTTCCCATGGCCAACTCATTCGTTTACGGTCACAGACGGAACATGGGTAAATTAAGCAACGGAGGCCGATAACCGATGGTGTCCGAGGGTGTAGCGTAGTTTCTATTGGAAAAGCAATGTCTCTGAACTAATGACACGGGTATAAATGACCGTACATAACATTTGTAAATCCAAATTATTACTGAAGAAAATGATCGTCCCCACTCGGTTACCTGGCAGGTAGTACTTGAACGTTCTGAGAGTAGAAACGTAACATGGAAGGAAGATATCAGGCATTGCTGAGAATGCATATGCCAAACCGGACAATTCCTCCGGGAAAGAGTTCGTCGCCTCGTCAATAACTTACTTTACTTTACTACGGCTGGCTCCTTGGAAAGGATAGGCCGGCTTCATGAATGTCTCTGTCTGCCTCCGTAGAAGACATGGTCAAGAAGTTACTTCGGAGTTTGGTACGAGAGACGTCCTCAGAGTCACTCGACGTATTTTATTTTGAGGGCGCACCTCTAGCATTTGCACATTCAAGTGCAAACTGCAAGGCAGCAGGAAGTAATCCCTCGCCTCGGAAGTGACGGGGTCAATGACTGTAAATCACACTGTCACGACACCGTCATTGAGCCTATACGGCTTTTAAACAGGAGCCAGGTGACAAGCCTAAAACCCAACCCACATTGGTAGTGCCGCCGCTGTTTGTTTGCGACCGCCTATTTATTGCGGTATGCCACAAATTCTTCGGTGAAAGTATCCCCCTATCTACAACCCGGGGACGCGTCTGGTAGCATTCAGCCTTGCTTAACCAGAGGGTATCAAGGGTATCGTTAATAAACACCAGATAGAATGGAAATTCAAAGGAAACCAGAAATAATCCCAACTCGAAAGTTATACTGAGATCGTCTGATAGTCATTCAATCCGACACAACTTAATTCCACAGAACTATAATCGAATATTATACTACAAGAAAGCATTACTTTGAAGAAAAATAAGCAACCCAGCAATTTATGAAGAGCATATCAAACGAAAAACAAACAAAAATTGTGCACAATTCAATCAATCAATTGAATTTAAACCCGGGAAATAGCAAAATATCTGTTTCCTATACTTCAATTATGGTAATTAACTCCTTCCATTGTTAAGGTAAAAGTGAGCTAGCATGAAAACGAATTGGGACAACAAGTGTCTGTGCACTGTTATAAACATTAACCATTAACCATTTTCATGCGCCGGCTTTGGTTGCTTATTTGCATTAAAGAGGAAAATGTCGGATTCGAATGTTGAGAGCAGAATGAAAGCAAAGGTAGAGAATTCAAATAGAATAAAACAATAAGGAGTAGATGCACAAGGGCCACTCAGCCCTATCACTCATTGTGTCTCTAACCACCGGTTACCATCGTCTCGGGGTCCCCAATCAGGGAGCTATTTAGGGAGACGATCATGACTGTGTTTTGGGGAACGGGGAACGGGGGGGGGGAGGTGTAGGAATGAGAGAAAATTGTGCTTACAGAGAACAATGGTCCCACGTCCACATCGAATCCGAGATCGGAGAACCCGGTGGCCACAACTTTACCCCCACGATCATGTCCATCTTGACCGAGTTTTGCAATCAGGATACGGGGACGACGACCCTCCTGATTGGCGAATTCCTGCAAAGCACATGACACGACAGAAGCGTGACAGTGTTAGTTACTCGAGCACGAAGGAGGAGAACAATTCGACAGAGTTGTGCAGACAAATAGCGGATGATAAGTAAAAGAGAGAACAAGCAATGCAGGTGTGTAGGGAAAATGAATTCATTCGCCGAATGGATATGTGCAATGTGGGATAAAAGACATGAAACTCAAGGTGCATGAGTGGGGTGGAAGAACAAAAAAAGGAATAATTGAGTGCATATATTGATGGGTCTGCAGTCGGTATACCATATCAAAACAGGTTTGACAAACTTACAGGATTAAATCTTGACAGGGGAGAACAGGATGGACAATTAACATTTCACGGACAATAATGAAGTCTGGAAACAGCACAACCTTTGGAAATTTCCAGTTGGTTGGAAGCACGCTGCGACTGGAATTCACGAATGTTGCGTTGGATTAAAAGTGATGCCATTAGTTGACAAAAACGATAGGGGAGAGGGGTATTCAAAGATCGGCCAAGCTCACACAATTAAAATTGAGAGGCTTCAAATGATTCGTCTAGATCGACTAGTACGGGGTAAATTATATCTGAATAATTGTTATTTCTACTGCGAAACTCCAGTCACTTAAGAGATGAGTTTCTTTTAGGTTATTTTGCTTCGGTTTGGGTAAAAAAATATGATGACTAACTGAATTTTTTATCCGGATTGATCAACTTATGCTATCCTTAGAGAGAAAGAGGTGTAAGTACTGGACCGTTGTTTCGACCTACTTGGGTCTCATCAGCCGTGCGCGGATCCATCGATCTCACTTGGGACCGAACTCCTGGACCTTACAGGTAAAACGCAAGCATACGACCCACTCGGTCATCGGGTAACTAACTGATCAAACCGTTTCTCATTTGGAATATACGCGATATAACACAACTCATCCGTGTGAGCCGGTCGTCGAGCCACAAACCTCGCTAATCTCAGCACTACCCGGTTGGTAAGGTTCACAATCTGATTATTTGTCAAATGAGAGGAATAAAGATGACTGATGTACACACGTGTGTTACGTCACTGTGACACATGAACAAAACCGCTAAATTTAATTCTATGAGTGCTGTAAGAAATGGCTGGGGTGGTGACCTTGTCGACACATCCAGTTTCCCTTACTTCAACATCTTTCATGACCGCATTAAATTCGTCCTGAGCGGCAAACTCGCTCCGGTAGGCTCCGGACACCAGACGATCAGCGGCTTGATGTCGGCCGTACACGTCCGTCATCGCATCGGTGATCTCACCAACCGTGCATCGTGCGCGTGCTGCTTCGATACTGAGAGCCAACAGATTCTGGCTACGGTCATCCTTCGCACAGGCATTTCGGATCTCAGTGAGACATTGCTCGGCCTTTGAACAGCGAGGAGGGGAGTGGGGCGGGGAAAGCAGTAGAAAGCACAGTAAATAAATCATAACATGCAACTAGCTGTTGTAAATCAAATTCCCGTGTGGTCGAAGATTTTGGACTTAGAAGAACTTTTTAATTTGAAGACCTTTAAAAATAAAACCATGAAATCACTTAATGCCCCACCCTTAGAAATATGCATTTCAATACCAGATCTGAATCGTTTTAAATGAGGAGAAAGAAGTCACTCATTGATTTTCAAAGTGTTAGAACGGAGGGTACAGAACCCGTCAGAACACGCATCGATAAGTGTCACACCACAAGTGCGTTCATGACGCTCAAAACCGACTCGATCCCGGATTGGATGATTAAGGCCAATCAGATAGCTGTTGTCAGATCGATCAACCGGAGTATCAAGGACGAGATCTGATTGGTGCGTTACCACTTCGTTTCTCGTAAGCCCAATTTACCACATATGTTCGCGTATTGCGAGCCGTGTACTCTCTCTCTCTCTCTCCGTATCGTTGTTGAGGCCCATTCAAGAGGTGCACGTATCGATCATACGTNCGTCTTGGCGAGAAATAACACAAAGGTATTCCGGTTTGTGTTCATCTGCCAACTAGTAAACTTCCTTTCTGGCTCTTAGTGAACTTTGAGTTGATTATCGTAACCCGTTTAATATGCACCTTCCAAGGAACAGTTTACGTAACCCCATTTTGTGCTTAACCACTGCAGAACGGTGTTCTGACGGTGAAATTCTCGGATGACGTTGAATCAGACTGACTTTCCGACGTTATGCACGTGCAAGAACGAATATAAAGGCTCGATATTCGAGACACAGCGGCATGGATAGTAAAAATATTACCGAAAGAGAGAAGGTTTTCTTTGTATCGACATACTGTGCAACAGAGTGGTGGCGACTACTCTAAACAAAAATAACAAGAAAAGGAAACAAATTATATTCGTGAGCTTTTAAAGATTGTTCAGAAGAACTCAAGGGATTTTTCTGTTTAGCTGTTTCCCGGGAAGACATTCCGTGAGCGAAAATGAGTTCTACAAATGGTTGGGAAGGAGTTTATGACTGTAATGTACGTCTATGCACACACACACACACACACACACACAAGAAACGACAACGGACAGTCACAAGCTCTAGTGTCAGTGGTCACACGACCAGAACTATCAGCACGCATCGAATATGAATAGGATGACGTAGGTAAATTCACCTACCCGGGCTTTGTCACGTTCGGCGCGCACTTGTTTCAATTTGGCAATTTGAGATTCACGCACTTTCGTGTTGTCCAC